ATCTGTGTAAACGGGGTTCATTTTGACAACGTCATCTGTACGCAAAACTTTTCGAAAGCACAATGGAAAAACTTTTCTGCTTTTAGTACAATCGTTGTGTAAATGTACCCTAAGAATACTGATCAGCTTGTGTCAGTTTTCATCTTATGTAACCCCACAGTTCAGTAGACTCGAATACAATTTCATCAACATCAAAACCAGAAATATTTTGTTTTAATCTTATATTATACTGAATATTACTCAGCATCATAATTAATATTATTCACTGATTAACGATTACCACTAGTAAGTCTAAAACTTCAAAACTACTACTGTCAAAGAAAACATTTAAAGTAACGGGAAAAAAATGAAATCATAATTATTTTAGTATTTAATTATTATTTTATTTATTTTTTAAGCAGTCACAGAATCTGCTGAAGTACTTTCTTAGGTATGTAAACCCCTAATTTGGACACACTGGTTTAGAGAGGGAGACACACAGGAGAATGTCTTGGGATGGCAGGTGTGTTGGAGAGCCGGCCGACAGGGCGTGGCATCTGAGACCATCAGTACAAGAAGGATAATTATAGAATCACCTGATGTTACCGTAGCAACAGAAACCAGAGGTTCACATGTTCATCCCACTGTTCTGCGCTGCGTTGCTACGGAGACACCCTCCTCTCCTGTTAGCACAACTGTGAACACTTAATCTGATCATTTCAGAGAGGTGCCATGTCACCTCAAGCACTTTTTTTCCCTGCTATATTATATATGACACCAACTAACGCTTAAAGAAATGAGACAACGCTATTATACCAGGCCAGATAACTTAGTTTCCTTCCTCTCATGACAGTGAGAGATTAGAGTTCTATCTAACAAGTCCTCTGAGATAGCACGGCTCACAGAGTTAGTAAACAGAAAACATGGGGATGGGAAAAAAAAATGGCTGACTTAAACACTACGGCTCTGCTTTAAAATCTAGTGAGCTGTCTTGCTGTCAACATAGCGAAGTGACTGAATCAAAATGTTTTGTAAAGAAAGCTCACCAAGGCTGCATTTCTTTGATCAAAAATGTAAAATTTCCATATATATGTAAGAGCATAAGTTTGCTGTTCTGGAACAGCTTTTGTGTCAGGAATTCTCCTAAAACTGTCATCTAGGTAGACATCTCACTCGAGTTTTTAACAGATCATGTGTCCTCAGGTTAGCAGGCATGTAGCTTTCATCAAGAGGACAATGAGAGTGACTCTCACAGACACTCTATTGATAATTACACTCTTTGTCATTTATCTCTGTGGAGCTGAGAATCCAACATGATTCAGCTGACATTAATGTTCACCACAGTAATTATATTCCCATATGATGTGAATATATGCCTATGATCATTTCAGAAGTTTATCCAGGATCTTATTTCATCCTCTGGCTGCAATGGTGATCTAACAGAATGATGAGAGAGGAGAAACAGTTATTCTGGACTCCTTTTGCGGTCCAATCTGCCTCGCAGTGTGTGGCACATGGCTGTCGGAGGCAGAAATCCTCTTATACTGCCTCCATTAGAGTTGCCCTCTACCCAACAAGACCACACCAGTTCCCTCTCTCTCGCTCTTGGCTCTCACACAGACCTCTCCTGAGCATCTGGAGGTCACTAAGACATATGCAGAAGACACCGAAGCCTCTGAGAAAGGAAGCTGGCTCATAAGAGCAATTTACTCTGCCCCAAGAGATCGAGTCTGGGATCAGAGTTCGCAGCTATTGGGTCCCAGCAGGGGCAGGAGGAAGCAATTGTGTTAAAGGTTAATAAGAGTCAAATACAAGAAAATATAGTGTAGCTGTAGCTTAAAATTATACCAATGTAACATTAAAGGGTGATGAAAAACCCTTTCATTTAACACTTCAGTTATGAAATATATTGAAATTATTAATGATTTTGATATTACGGTTACATTCTGCTTTCTCAATACTGGTTGAAATTAATCACACCTGTTGTATAATAAACAGGGTTTCTGTAGGTTTTACGAAGATACATTTAAGACTTTCAAAGACCTTTTTAAGACCAAATAAAGAAAATGTAAAGAATAAGTTGGATGGAGCATAATACTAATCTCTAAATGTACATGGCTTGTATTAACAATGCTTCAAAGTTTTTAATTTTACAATATCTTCAGTTTGCATCTTAAGTAAATGTAACTTGATTTAAGGATGTTTAGATATTTATACTAAGTAATAAAAAACAAATCTGTAACACTTCTCAGACCTTTCAATGTGAAAAAAAAAAATACATTGATTCTCACTGCACCTCAAGGTCATGGTTGTACATCCATTTCTTGAATTTCTGCCGTTTTTCTGCTCTTTTGACTGATGTCAAACAGGAAGGGCAACTGCCAGAATAAAATTTGCTGGAAAAAACAAATGTTGACCTCTGACCTTTTTAAGAGTACTGAATAAACACAGTGACTATTCCAATGCAGTCTGCACAGAAATTCACAATGATTCTCTATTGATTGTGTCTGTAGTCATGCAGAAGCGTTTGTCATATTGTGTAAGCGCCCAGTTTGAAAGACAAGCTTTGTTGAAAGTCTAGAAACTGATCCAATGTTTGCTTAAGGGGATAGTTAACTCAAAAATGAAAATCGTCTTCTTTCACTCACCCTCATGTCGTTCCAAGGCTGTATGAGTTTCATTTTTTTTGTAGAGCACAAAAGGAGGATGTTGAAGTACTGTGCTGGTCTCTTTTCAGTGCAGTTGCAATGAGAGCTTAAGATTTCAAGCTTCAAAAAAGCATCAGAAAGTAGTCCATATGACATGCGCAATATCCCAAACTTCTATGAATCCATACAACAGTTCCCTGTGAAACAGACTTTAAATTTAAGTCACTAAATTAAATGATGACACTTTTTTGGGGGGTGAACAGTCTCTTTAAATGCTAACTTGTGAAAAAACAGCCATGCATTTCCCATAGAGATGTTTTTACAGTTGACTACATTGACATAAATGCTGTCTTCTGTTCCCTCTCACACCCAGGAAGTCCACACCATAGAGAATACAAGAACCAGAGGGAGAAGAGAGAAAACACAAGAGCTGCAAGCAGGTAAGAGTCACACAACTGCATGGACCAGAGCACTCAGTGCATCAAATCATGTGTAACACACACACTGAATATATTCATGGTGTACTATGGCAGATGGAGACACTCATATAGTTCATATCCCATGATGAAAGACAGGTTAAAACCCTAGCAGGGTGTGAGGATGAGAGGAGAAACATAGAGTGCTGAAACATTCTGGACAAACAAACTATTTAAAACACCAAAAATGAAACATTTAACACCTGCCTGGAGAGAGAGAGAGAAAATTAATTAAATAAATAAATGAAGAGGGGACAAGAAAAAGGAGACTGGGACAATGTGGATTTGAATGCAAATATGAATCATCTGTGTTTGCCACGACACTCAATTTTCATATTTCTCAATTTGAGTGAATATATACGGGTTTGAGTCTATAAATTATTTAACAAAAGGTTTAGGAAGGTCAAAGAATTGAGCCAATCAAACTGAACATTACTAATTAATAATCTCCGACTTCATTTGACGAGAAAAGGACATGATGTCCTTCTGTTAAAGGCCAAAACATATTACATGAATGTAAAGTTAGATCTCATTAACCTGAAAATGATTTTTTTCCCAGTGTTTTGACTTAATAAAGGACTGTAATAAAGCTGAAACAGCACATCAGCGCAGCAATGAGGCAGAAATCTGGGCAGAATCTCTGTTCTAAAAGCCATAAACTAACATTAGAGAACTACATTATACCATAATCTCATCAAAGAGCCCTTTCTCACAGAGTTAATAAATACCCTGAGTTGCACTGGGCAAAACCGGGGGGTTTACGGTTCTTTAGGGCAGTGGAGAACAGATGCGATAATGTTTTCAGCAGAGATGATGGCCATTCAGCCAAAGCCCCAAATGCAGGCGATTCCTCAAGTGAGTCTCAACTTATCAAGTGCAGTTTGAGCAAGAGACCCAGTGCTCGCTTCTATCATGCTGGGTGGATCATTCACTGTTCTGAAACCAAACGTGGTTAAATCATGAAGACGGCATTGAGTATCATTTTGTCTCTAAAAAAACATTGAGGGAGAAACATGCTCAGGACTCATCAAAAATACATTAATGGATCTGCTTAGCCATCATACACTTTCTATTTTGTAAATACTTACATTTAATTTGAAACGTGTGGTTGCTGCATTTAATGCGACACTGAAGACTACAGTAACAGCTGCGGATTCAGTTTTGCCATTGCAGGTATAAATTACATTTTAAAATATATTTTCTACATTTTATAATATGACCAAATAAATGCAGCCTAAAAGACTTTTAGCAAACATCTTACCAAGCCCAAACTTTTGAATGGTGGTAGTGTATGTGGGTATAAGACAACAGATTATATATAGTGACAACTGAAAATGATAATTCTGTCATCATTTACTCACCCTCAAGTAGTCTCAAACCAGTATGAGTTTCTTTCTTCTGTTTAATACAAATCATGATATTTTTCACTTTCTGGTCCCCGTAGACTTTCATAGTATATATATATATATTATTTTTTTTTCATATTATGGAAGTCAATGAGGACCAGAAACTGTTTGGTTATGCACATTCTTTAAAATATGTTCTTTTGTATTATGCAGAAGAAAGAAATTCATACAAGTTTGGAACAAGTTGAGGGTGAGTAAATTATGACAATTTTCATTTTTGAGTGATCACTCACTTTAACTTATTAATTGTATTTCGTCAGTATTAAGCGTGACTTAATACCAAATCAATGAAAATACCAGAAATCATTTTTCTCCGTTTCAGCACTGGTGTAGTTACTGTGTTTTGCCTTTGTATTGTAGTAACTATAGTGTTTTTTTCTTCTTCTTCTAATGTTCTTCATGTGGCTCTAAATGACACCAAACTGTGCAGTAAATGTTCAAAGAAAGGAACTCAGCATCGCCACAACCCTCAAATCCAGCCAGACAACATGGCACTTTGCTCATTTTTATTGATCAGATTTAAATACAATGACAGGGTCTACCTCAGAAGGAAATAAATTCAAACACTGTTTCTGTATGGCGGGCAAGAGCGGGAAAAGAAGAAACGATGACCGTTGAGTAAACCTCACAGAGTAGGCCGAGAGACGCTTGTAAAGGTGCTGGCAGCAGTTCTTTTGCCACAGAAAAAGAGAAAACACACATCCTATACAAACGCCCAGAAATGTCACTGAACACTCGGATCACATCAGAGAGAGAGAGACAAAAACACGCTCAGTAAGTTCACTTGGTTACTTTTGATCTAACTTCAAAATATCCATATATATTATATACTGAAATATAGAATCTCATGATTAAGGAGGCGTTTTCTCAGCAAGCTGTTGAGTTCATGGTTGCTCTGTGCATCCCCCTCACGTCTTTAAATGTCTTGCCCCAAAATACAGAAATCTGATTGGACAGATCAGGTTTGCTAGGATGGGGTTTGTCAGCTGGTGATTGGCTAAAAATGTACATGAAAAAGATGATTGGCTAATATGTCAAAATTTAAGATTAAGGTAAGTACGTTGGTCCTATTTGAAGCAGCTACAGGTAGAGTTATCTGTAGCCTACTCGCTTTAAAAAATAAAATAAAATAAGAAGAAAATGATAAGAAACAAAGCCCTTGGGCAGAAGAGAGGATATGCACAGAGTATTAAAAAAAGTAAAAAAAAAAACCGAGAGAGGCAAATGTTCAACATTAGAAAAAAAATAAGAGCATACTGATGTTTTGTTTTTCAGGATTTTAGTTTTTTTGTGTTCTCTGCGAATACACCTCATCTTCCACAAGGTCTTTGGAACAACGACTTAGCGGCGGTACCCGAACTCATCCGCATCATCATCACGGAAATCTCCATAACGCCAAATGTTGAGCTGCAAATGAAATGGAAAATTCATCAATTAAAGATAGTTAAAATATAGCTCTAACTGTACACATTTAAAAAAATGTTCAATTACTTACAACTAAAATTAATTCAGATTTCAAATGCAGTTTGGAGACTTTCATTGTGGCTTTGCTGAAGCTAGGCTGACGAAATAGTATTAAATTCACACTTTATATATATTTCAAGCACTGTACTCGTGCATATACGAGACTTTTATTGACCCTGCATTAAAAGCATCATAGATTATAATGAAGACAAATCCTCAAAGCAGCAGATCTTTGATGTTTTAGATGGGCTTCTTCTGTGCAAGCGGACATGTAGGATAAAAAGCATTGAAACTAAATAACTTCAATGAAACATTAGTAAGCAGCAAAATGGGTCTTTAAGTCATTTGACAGCACTGATTCAACCATCATTAAATTCTGATAAGCATTTCTGCCCTTGTATCTGTGAGACTGAGGCGCAGATGGCCAGCGTGTAGACAGGATCATTAAAACACGAGCCGGTCTCTAACATCATCACACCTCAGTAATAACGAGGCGAATGGTCGTTTACGGTGCTCTTTAACTCTAGTCTTTTCACATCCAGTCACGCGTGAAGGCTTTACCTCCAACAAATTCCATCGCAGCCCTTTTATTTTACATCGGTTTTGCCACATAAAACAGCGAAATGTTTTATTTGTGCGATAGTGAATCGTTTCGGCTTCAGAGATTCTTAGGAAAGATGGGAAATCATTTTGTATGTCATAAAGAGGCTTTTAGGTTTTCTCTCCATTTCTATCATCGGTGTGCATGTGGCTGTTAACTCGGAGAGAATTAAGCTAATTAATATCTATGATAATTAGCACCATCGTAAGCAGGGACATCATCATCAAGCTCTTGGGTTGGCATGGTTCTCTCTTCTGATCGAGTCTTGTTAAATAGCCATTGGCCTGTCATATGGAGCATGTTTTAGTCAAAAGATTGTTCGATGTGCACCACCCTACACAAAAGTCGACGTTACAGGTAACAAAGCTGGATGTGTGAGCCAAAGCCGATTCTGAAAATAAAACAAAATTCCTCATTGTTAGTTAATATTATTGCATTTACTAATGTTAACTAATGGGTTGGTTGGTTGATGTTTTTATGTCATGTCAGTTTTCTGTTTTCATTACAAGTTGAAATAGTATGAGAGAAATTTAAAACCTATATCAGGTTTTTAAAGTACGTTTAGATAAAAATTCTAAAATGGATTCAGGTTTGAATCTGTTCAAAATTTCTTCAAAATGGTTTGAAGAGTAATAACATTTCCTAAAAGACTTTAAACCACCACAATTTAATAAAATATTTAAAACAAACTGGACTCTGGCATGAAGAGCATATTGGTGAATCTTCATTTGAATTTGAGTTCTTAACTTCATTATGAACTTGTGTGTCATTCTGAAATGTCCTATTTGGCATTATGCATATATGAGCTGATCAGTGATTGCTGAAAATAAAGATGCAACTTTTACCCACAGCAGGGTTAATTTGATACACTGATCTCATTCCTTTTGCCACTTGTTAATTGCGCAAGATACTGCGGTACGTTTTAAGATCTGAGGGTGGTATGAAACACCTTTTAACATCTGTGGGTAGTGCTTCTTTAGCAGCAGCGTCCGCTTGTTTGGTAACTAATGGGACCTTATCTAAGTGCCATCTATAAATAAATAAATTGCTGCAAAATAGTGTGGTTGACCAATCAGAATTTAGAACTGTGCGATATAAAGGAAAGAATTAAAGAGGAAGAGAGTTTAAAATTGCAGCTCTTACCCTGGCACTCTTGGCAGATTCTTGGCCATTCAGATATTCAGTCACCTATAAAAAAGAAAAAGAAAAAAAAAGTGCATTTAGACAGAGAAAGGCGTAGTGTTGTGTTTAACTTCTTTAACATACCCAACCAACATCCTTCAACATCTTCAACAAAATAAATCACACACACAGGACACTATGGAGGACAGCGATTGCTTTAAAAATTGACAGCATTTTCCGGCATTGATGCAGTGCGGAATCCACATCAGTCAATCACAGTAAGTGCACCTAGTTTAGAAGATGTTTTAACAGGCCTTCATCTTATTGAGTCGTTCCCTGATCATCAGGGTGGCGATCGGAGCTGTGTGCTTACAGAGCACATGTTCAGTAATAAGTGAAAGTGTGGGTGGTTACAGCCACTAGACAGTCTGTGTGTCTCCTGCTTTCTTTCTTTTCCTGCAGCCCACAAAGAGCTGCATCACAGACACAGGCCTGAATAACACTAAACATATCGACCGCTTCTGCCACAGCAAGCATTGAGAGTCACTGACTGAGGCATAGATGAGTCAGAGAGCGAGATTGTCTTCATTTCTGGTTCAGAGCAGTATTGGCAATATCGTTCGAAAGCTGGAAAGGTCTGTGTTTTCTGAAGTACCAGGTACGGATGAGATCACAGCCGAGGATTTAATGCACAAAGATGGCAGATGTTAAAAAGTGTAAGGTGCGCTCTTTTAGCTGTGTGTTTGCATGTGGGGGCTGTTATTTCGAGGGGGTTAATTGGCTGGCTGAGGAACAGGTGATTTAGTGCTTTAGAACATGCATGAAAAGATGGCGAGGTACATCTGGATTCTGCAGCTGCAGGCGGCAGAGAAAAGTGCAGCTAACGCAGCCTCTATCCATCAAGCGTCCGACGCCCCATGACATGCAACACCGCACCTCGTGCGCCACGTTCACACACACCATCATCAGCAGTTTCACACACTACAGAGGGGCTAAAAATCCCATGCTGCTTCAAAGATGCAACATTAGAGCTGTGCTGATAACCATCATGTATGACAATTCATCAGCATTTCAAGATTAGGGATGCACAGATATTAATAATACTGCTAAACTAATAATTATTACTGATAAATAGCTGATATGAAAAATTTACATTTAGATTTAAATTTAGTTTCCATTAGAGCATGGCGCTAGCAATGGCAAGGTCATGGGTTTGATTCCTAGGGAATGCATGTACTGATAGAATGTATACTTTGAAGGCAATGCAAGTCGATGCAAGTTTATGCATCTGCCAAATGCATAAATGTAAATAATATAATATTTTGCTAAAAATATGATATGAACAAAATGTTTTCACAATGAGAGTAATTTTATTTTGTAACAATATATCACAATATAGTTAAGTTCTAATTTTTTTAGATTCACACTTTTGAAAACTGTAAAAGCTGTTCAGTAAAGAGTAGTGATTTCCTAATTTTCTGATACAACTGATAAAACTGATACAGAGACATAAATACTTGCCAATACAGGCAATTTTGACATTTTAGTGTATTTGACTGCTGAATTGCAATAATCTGCAAAAAAAAAAAAGAACTGAATTCAGGATCACATGTTGTCTGAGAGGCAGCTTTCGGTGTGTGCGAGTACCAAATTGAATTAACTCTTAATTTTCTCATTCATGCATGTGTCTTTATTACTCTGTGTCAACTTATAAATATATCGCCATACCAGCCCTAATCACCATCATAACAGAGTCTAAAAGCACACACACTTCTCTTTTCCATGTGTGTGAGCCATTTCTGTGCTCTCACTCTTGTGGGTTCAGGTGGCTGTAGGTGTCTGCAGACTGCAACTGAGTCTTTTACCGTCTCTCGGCATGAAATGATGGGACAGTCAGTGATCAGTGAGGTATCTCACTATGGGAATCGTCTTGGGCGTGACCAATCCTGGAAGCACCAATTACACCACGTCTGTCAGTTGACAGACCAATCACGACAGTGATGCGGAAGTCCCGCCTCCCTATACATATATATATATATATACAGTGGGTACGGAAAGTATTCAGACCCCCTTCAATTTTTCACTCTTTGTTATATTGCA